ACTTTACCCGACTGCTATGCTGTCATACAAAGCCTAACACTCCCTCCGCGCTTCATTACTCTGGTTCTTCTTCCACTGTACATGATTTCAAGCCAGCATATTCATGTTCATCCTGGATTCGCATAGCTTATACATGCACCATGGTAACTCTTTTTCAGTATGAGACCAAAGGGCTTGTTTTATCCGTAGCCTGCCCGTAGACCTCATGGCCTGGCTTACAGACTTAAGATTGCAAGTATTAGTTGCAGCTGAATTGGGGTGGTTTTTTAGAGCCTTTCTGTTCGGGGCTTGGCGTTATCACACCGCATGCCCCCCACTGAAATCGCGTTGCCACCCCGTCTCTCGCCTCCCCCACCAACCCTGGTGACAGGTGGACGCATCGGCATTCCCTATGAGTTGCTAGCCCACTCTCTTAAAACACCTTCACCTCTTTGTAGGACCTTCCTCTCAACTTATCATTGGGCCCGCGGCAGCCAAACTTGCCGATCAAAGCTGCACTCTCTCCGGTCGCCCCAAGTACCTCAAGTGCCCCGGGTGCTCCGATTGCTCCGATTGCCCCAGTTGGCCTTCAGATAATTCCAACTCGGCTCCCCTCCACGTTTGACTCTTCTGACTCCACCGCATCCGTGGTCGGTCCAGTCAAACAGAGCATCATCAACCTCGGCAGCACTTCCAAGACTACCACTTCCTCCGCCTCAAGGCCCACAAGCCAACTTACCTCTCCACCGCCGTTGCCGTTGCCCTCGCCGCCGCCTGGCCTCATCGTCGCCCTCCCACCAGCGTCAGCTGCTCTGGTACATTCTTCGTCCAATCCCTGGCCAGTTGACTCAATTGCAAATGGCTCCGAAGGATCGCCGGCCTTCTCACAAAGTGAGCTGCTTTTTACTTGCCTCATTTTCAATTAAGTAGGGCTGATTGTTCTACATTTTGAGACGACAGAAGAAATACCATCGGAGCACTACTGACTGTATACTCTGCAGATAAGGGCCTGGCTTGCGGTCTATATCGGCAAGAGGAAAGGAATTTGTG